GAGAGAGAGAGAGAGAGAGAGAACTTTAAAGGATGACGGAGTTTCAAGTCTCCATCTCCTGCATACTTTATTCTCCTCTCATTCTCATTGCTGGACAGGGCGGCAGAAGTTTTCTCAGAGGGAAGAAGAAGACAATGGGAAGACAACAAGAAGCGCATGGAGATAGCTTGCTTCTGGGTTACATCGTCAAGCGTACAGAAGGTTCCAAAGTTGAATTGTATCACATGAAGTTATCTGTACAAAATTACACATCGATAAAGGGCACTCCACCAGAAAGCGGAGAGATGAGCGACTAATTAATTTCGCAGAAATTGCACACAAATACACGAGTCCTTGGGAACTACAAATAATGCGAATATATGTATACCAACTGGCACCAATACTTGATCAAAATATGTATACCAACTGGCACCAATACTTGATCAAAATATGTATACCAACTGGCACCTAGGCAGCTAGGCTTGATAAAATTATACGTACTTGACTTGGCCCAACACCCAGCTAATTGATGTATGGCCATTACTTAATCTCTGGGGATGCAGCAAGACAGACGGAGGCAGCGATGCGAGCAAAGCAAGCGGGCGGAAACTGATTGGTTGGTTGGTCTCTGTCCGTAGTACTCGAGCTAGCTAGGTGGAATTGAACTATATATATGGGCATAAACACAAGCACCTAGCGGGCGGGCGGGCGGGAGCTGACCTGCGGCGGTTGCTTCGGGCAGAAGGGAGGAGAGGGCGACCATGCCGGCCTTGGAGCAGAGCAGCAGCTTCTTCGTCCTTGCCCTCCATTCGTCTCCCTGCCGTCGCCGTCGTGTGGTGTTGTACTCGTCGTCTCGTCGGGAGCAGAACAGAGGAATAAGCAAATGGAGACAATATCACGTGGAAACCACATATTCAGTGGAACTATATCTGGCCATGGGCCGGGCCTGAAAAAGCCCATGGCAGAAAACTGAGGCCCAGGCCCTCCCAAGCCCTATCACTGGGCCTACTTTTCAAGCCCAAGCCCGGCCTATCTGGTAAAAAGCCCTAAAAAGCCCTTAGGGCTTAGGGCCGTGGGCCTGGCATCTTCCTTAAAATGCTAATATGCCAAGCCCTAGCCCGTCCAAGCCCTACTGATGGGCTCAAAACTTAGGCCCAAGCCCGGCCCATGGGCAAGCCCATCGGGCCTAGGCCCTGGATTTTAGAGCTGGGCCTGGGTGGGCCGACAGGGCCGGGCCTGAGATGGCCAGGACTAAGTGGAATCCTGGAAACCTAAGCTCAGACCGTTGGATGCTATTTGTATGGACCAGATAGAATCATAACTGCTATGCCCTATTTGCAAAGAAACGCTCGCAATCAGGGATACTATTTTACGTGTACCCCCTCAGGTCTAACAAGTAATCACAGCGTACCTCCTTGCCCCTTATTTTCACCTTTTTGTTGGCCAAGTAGGATTTGTAAGCCATGCGCTGTGCCTATACTTCATCAAACATGCGTGACATGTACGTTTCGATTTAAAATGGAAAACTAGCTGCAATGGATACCAAAACTGAAGGAAGCTAGTACAGTAATTGCTACCAGTCTCCTAACAGAACTGTACCAACAAAATCACATCTGGGAAACCAAAAGAACAGACAGTCAATGCCCAGACCAGACAACAGAAAACTGAAGGAAGCTAATTTTAATATAGTCTACTAATAGAATTCACTTGCAGTAATGCATCACTTCAACAACACATACATTAGGCAAATGTTCCAACCGCATTATGCTAGGGAATTTTATTACAAGATAGACCTATCACTAACTGAACAGCCATAGTAAAATTCTCACACTTATACATCAGACAATGAGCAGACAACTCGAGTACACAAGCAGAAGAACGTATCAGTGCACTACTACGACTCCAAACAACAGTCTTTTTTTGTTGGAACATGCATAAGTCTTTACTGTCACCAGCAAACCTGAAAAATAAGAGTTGAACTTTTTATACATAATAGATTAAAACGAATTTAACAACAATCAATGAAAATAGATACAACAGTGCATGTCATCTTAAGTTAGCAAGATATTTCTTTTTAGAATTATTTTCCAAAACCAATTCCTTTCTTATTTCCCGTCGCACTACACAAATAAATATGCATACAACCACCATCATAATGTACAACATTGTCAAATCGGCATGATAGGAGCTCCCTGCTGCTGCATTAAGGGTGTGTTTTTGGGGTTGCAATTTTCACGGTTGTAGCTACTGTAACTCTAAATGACTCGATTAAGAGCTGTTTTCGCTGCATATGAGTAGTGTTCACAGAATTTTAACTGAAATCACAAACTTATGAGATTTTGGGCAATGTATTTAAACGAGTTTCACATATAATTTGCTGACTAAAAAATAAATCATCTATTATTGATGCTGATTTAAATCAAGCATCTGAATTGTTAGTCAATCATCTATGACTACCACTGAATTTTTTTAGCAACCCACGAATAGTCATAGATGTGTATAACAGTAACACGCAAAAATTAGGAGCAAATGAATTATACCTCGCAATTTCTTCAAGGCCAAAATCTGGACAGTACGACTCAAGGGGAATCAGCAGCTGCAGGCAAGATGCCACTACCTCATTACCTCTCCTACTTCCTTGAAATGATGTGCTGATCTTGGAGGAGACAGACAAATGAGCCACTTCCTTGTCCCCTCCTTTGTTTGCTTGGCAAACCCAGCCCAATCTAGAGAAGATGGAACTACTCGATGAGCCACGGGACAAAGAAGAACGGGGCCAAAGCACAGAAGACGAACACTTCAAATGCTCATACCTTGGAATTAGATCTAGTATGACGTCGATGGGGAATGCTCGGAGGACTGACACTGTTGGCCGGAGACAAATCAGAAGCGCCGCTCGCTGGCCCTGCCCGGAACGCCACTCGCCGGCCCTTCCCGAAACGCTCGGAGGAGGACTCGCCGGAGGGGGTCCTGCCGGAGGGAAGCATCGTCTCCCAACAGGTCTCCTAACCCAGCGAAAGAATTTCGAATCAGGATGATTTTTTTCTTTCGAATCGGGATGATAGCTCCATGGGGAAAGGCACAGGACGGCTCAGCCGCCATGGGATGTTTCTGTACCTAAGGTACATGATTCTTGCAAGGTTCAATTTGCAAATTATACTTCTTTCCATCTCACAGCGTACGCATCCAATCCAACGGCACACGTTTGGGTTTTCATGTTTCCTCTGAATGTATGGTTTCCACTAGATATGTTCTCAAATGGAGTGTGTATGCGCGGTCTCACGAAAAAAAGCCAAGCACCCCTCGCAAAAAAAAGGAAAACAAAGCCAAGCAACTGTGTAAAAAACATATTTCTGTATATATAATTATTATTTAATTTTTAGTTCACTATTTTTTATCTAATTCCTTAAAATATACGTGTAAATATTTCCCTCTTACAAACAAATATTCATCTAGTATATATGTAAAAATGCACATCATTTATGAAAAACACAAATTCACTGTGTATTCAAATAAGGTTCATCACGTATTCGGAACAAAATGGTCAT